TTTTTCACCTAAAACATCGTGATAAATTTCAACCATTAAAAGTGGAGAAATGAATGGTTGAGATTTTGTGTAAGTGTGGTGGGTAAGATTTGTGTGTTAGGAGATCCCTCCTCCACCTCTCTCTCTCTCTATATATATATGAAAAGACAATTAACTTTAAAAAAAAAAGGATAAAAAGGGGATAAAACTCATTTATGGTTGAGAAATGAACAGTTAAGATTTTATGTAAAAGTTGTAAGTTGATCCCAACTCTTACATTAATAGATTCTATTATCACTTGCCACTATCATTAATTCAGTTTAGGAACAAAATGAAGTGGTTCTGCATGCATGATGTACCAAGAAGGCATTTGAGATTCCCCCAAAAAATTAACCAATCCACTGTACTTGTAATGTTATGAAGAATTTAAATATGAGTAGTGCCATTACATTATGGAATCATCATCACCCATTCCCCTTCATTACAAGAAACTGATTTACTTTTGTGTATTTTTCTTTTTACTTAATTTTAACAAGATTGTTAAATATACACCATAAACCTATCTGGGTCACCAATTACAAGCTCATGTTAAGCATACTAGCAGAAGATAACAAACTGATTCTACTTTTAAGTCAGAAGACATCAAACTCCCATAAGAAAACTAATTAGCTTACTTACACAATGAGGAAAACAAGCTATAACCCTCACTCTCTTGTAAAAAACATTAAAATTTTACACCTCCTTCCAACTTTAACAATACTTAAGTTTAATAAAGCAGTCAAACTATAGAGTCCCCATCAACTTTAATGATATATAGCATTTTTTTTTTCCTTTTTTTCTTGACTTAATTCTTATGAAATTGTTATACAACACAAACCTATCTGGGTCGCCAAGGACAAGATCATGATAAACGTACCAGCAGAAGATAACTGATTGGTTTTGTCTTAAACCAGATGACATCTATACTCCAATAAGAAAATCAATCAGCACAGTTACTCAAGGAGTCAAATCAGCCGTTACACTCACCGACTTTGGAAAGAAAGTTAAAACGTCACACTTCCCTCCAATTTCAATGATACTAAAGTTTAAAAGAGCAGTCAAACTACATATTTCACTTGTAACTTCCCCCATTTTTTCAGCTTCAAATCCGGGAAAAGTAAAATTAGCCTCAGTCATGCATTGGGAATACCCAAAAACTAAAAAAACAACCAATCTATCAAGAACCAAACAAAAAATGATTCAATCAGCCACTCCACCTAGGGAAGGAAATAAATAAAACCCGTTACCAAATAAAAGAAAACAGAAAATGAACATACTTTGATACAAAGATTCCCAGTGCAGATGATGTGCTGGATCTTGCCAGGGACGAGCATGGACTTGAACTTTGCCGGCAGATCAGGAGCTCTATGGGGTATGTGCAAATCCCCTAAAGCCAACACCAGCACCATATTCAGGGTTCAACAATCCCAATTCGAAGTCTATAAACACAAGCAATAACGGAGATTAGATAAATATGTTTAAGACGAAATGGGGTTTGTGAATTCATCCAAATTTTTTGCAAACGTATTGTAATTTACCAGGAAAATCGCATTAATTTTTGCAGAAGCTGAGGATGGCGACGAAACACCTTTTCACCTGGAATTCGTTGACGATCTCTGATTTTTATTTATTTATTTTTTTTAGGTTATTTTTTTCGGGACTACTTGTAACGACGACGTCGTATTAGCAAGCTCTAAATTAAAAGTTTAGGGTAAATCTCATGGGTGGTCATTGTACTTTGCCACTTATAACATTTTAGTCATTCAGTTGTACACCTAACAAAATGGGTAGCTTAGTATATAGGCCAACAAGTTATAGCTCGACTTAAGGAAATTGAAAATTCCGGCACAATAAAAAAGACATAAGACTAGTTGGTTATTTCATGCGTTTATTTGATAACATAAGAAAATAATATTTACTCACATGCTTCGCATGAAAGGTTAGGAAAAGTTAGGGGAGAAATTCTCAACATACTTTTCAAGTTAAGTAAAGTGAGTGGGTTTTATCGAATGTCTCTTGATTTTGTAAAAATCAAAAGATATAATTTGGGAGAGTTTTATCAAGTTTTGTCAAGAATATCCTTACATACTCCTTGTACTACCACTTAGGACTTTGAGTTAGGCTTCTAACAAAGTTAGAAACAACTAAGATTCATGAGAGTATAAGGACTAAGTCCTAGTTTTTGGCACAAAAGAGAAAAACAAATAAAAGTAGTTGGTTATTTCATGTGTTTATTTGATTATATAAGGAAATAACAGGTTTGTAAAGAATGCAATCAATTAACTATCTAAGCACATTTTTTAAAATTAGGTCCTATAAACTACTAAATCAACTAGTTAATATATAAGGTGCGAAAGTGATATAATTACAATACCACATAGTATTGTAAACTTATAATATGATGTATCGTATGATTAACTCTTTTCATTTAAGGGTTCAATCGTAATTTTTTTTATATATTTATTTATTTAATATCACATTATAATTATAAATTTATAATTTTATATAATATTATAACTATAGTATTATTGTATAAATTATACATAATATAAATATAAACTACTAATGCATACTATAACACAATTGGAGAAAACCCACCCTCAACAATTGGTTAAAGTATTTAAAAAAATCAATCTTTAAGCTGATTTTAAATTTTTTACCAATAAATATTAACTATTTTATTAGCTAGCTATCTGTTAATAGCTAACAATTACAACTATCAATTGTTTCTAATAGTCAAACCAAACACAACATATATATTTTCTTAATATTTCATACAATAAAATGTGAAATTTTCTTAATTTTTTTGTTCAAGCTCTACAACAAAATAGCCTTTTAGTGGGGTCGTGAGTACAAAATGTGGCCACCATTGCAGCACATGTGGTGGCCACGACGTATGGTTGCCTTTGTTTCAATTTTACTGTGGCGGCCACTTAACATACACCTTTAAATAACAACATTGGTACGGGCTTTTTTTTCACGGCCATTGAAATCTACTTTCAGTGTCCATTTCAAGTGGTCTCCACTAGATCTTGGCCATTGATTCACATGTTTCCCATAGAGAAGGTCACACGTAAATAAGTATATATTTACTTATTTAATATCATATTATATTATTATACTAAAAACATTATAATATAGCATTTTGAGATTGATAAATACAAAAATAATTCAATATTCACAGACAAATTACTTCAAAAATGCCAGATAGTGCATGATAGGACTAAGAAAAGGGCATAATTTGTGTCTATCTACAAGGCAATTTGCAAAAAGGAAAAGTTTGAACTATCTTAGAATAAAAGTCAGTGACTTACATGATAATTTCTTTTCAATAGGAGTAAAATTTTAAAACTCATGTTGCATGGCATTCAAGTGATGAGGTAAATTAAGGGCTAGAGTAATTAGCACACCTTAGTTTGATATATTATGCCACCCCTAAAAGAATAGAGCGGCTCCTTAGCCCATAATTTTAGAAACAATACTTTTCCAAAACTACACCATTTTACTCAATTGCTCCCTAATTTTGTTCTATGAAAAATTCAAAAGCATTCTTAATATTTATTTTATATAAGACAACTTTTGATTCATCAAATTATTTTTGTCATTTTCTTTCTAGGAACAACAAAATAAGCAAGAAGACATAAGAGCACGTAAAATGCATGCTCTCTGTGATGTTCTTTTACAAAAAAGAATAGAGCATCAATTGGAGCTGAAAGAAAAAGAGAGCCAACATCGAGCTCAACTCTTTTTTTTCCCCCCAAAAGGAGCAAAAACAGCACTATTTTTGCCCCTTTTGGAGCAATTTTTTCAAAAATACCTATGTCAACACATCTCAGAAATTACTGACTTTACTTGAAGCCGTTGGATTTTGAAATCAAACAGCTTCTTTCTTTTTGTAATTTGTTTTAAATATATAAATGTAAGTTAAATAAAATAATGGTAATACGATTTTTAAGAAAATTCTATTTAAGTATATACATTGAGGAGTGGGTGTTTTGTTAAGTGTTTTATTTAAAAATTAAATATATAAAAATGTGATTTTATATAAAATTATATTAATTCTAATGATATGACATGAAAGTGAGTTTTTTTTATTATTTTCTATTGTAAATGCTTGAACTATTAGTAATACTAAAAACAACAAGGCAAGCAAGATTGAAATTGATGAGAGGGATTGGCTCAAATTTGACTCTTTTTACTGTAAAATAATCAAGTCCTCAAGCAGAATGCAAACAAAAGATCACAAAATAAAAAGAAGTCAATATAGCAAAATGAATAATAAATATAAAACAATAAATTAATTTTAGAAAAATAAATGAAATCGTGAAGCGCAAAAAAGAGCGGGAAAGCCGTCTAACATTCGAAGGTGGTTAACGACGATGGGAAACATGACTCTACTAAGTAAACAAAACAAAAAAAAAAAAAAAAAAAAGGAGAAAAGGTTTGGATAAGTATACAAAATTTGTCCTTTTTTGTATTTAAAGATACAAAATTTTTTTTAAAATTAGGTAATAAACTTTTACTTTTAATTATTTAAACGTATAAATTTTGTCATTTATTTTATTTAATGATACAACATTTATCTTATTTTGATTTAGATTGTTGTTTACCACATCACTATCACGATATATCTAATAAATCTTTAAATAAAAAAATGCAAAATTCATATCTTTATTTAAAAAAAAATGAAAGTTTACCATTTAATTTAAAATTTTAAAAAATTTATATTTTTAAATAAAAAAATAGCAAAATTCATATCATTATTTACACATTTTTTCAAAAAAATAGAGCACAAGTAGAAAACGAAATGAAGTATAGGATTTTATTAGGCCTTTACTTGACCAGTTGATAATCTCTTTATCAATTTTGTCTAAAAGAGAAGACGGTGACTTTGGATGCCACATTAAAAAAGGGAGGGGGTTTAGGAGGAAGCGTTGGTTATTGCCACACATATTTTTCTTAAGGCCATACAATTTTGATTGATATTTTATTAATTTATTATTTTTTCTTAAATAATTAATTATGATGTCCAAAACAATTTATTTGTAAATTTATTTCAATTTATAAAATAATAAATATTGATTATTTTATTAATTATCATTAACTATTTTTAATAGCCAAATTGATAATAGAATATTAGTCAAAATTATGTAACTTTAAAAAAATTATGTGTAGCTATAACCAGAGTCATAGGCAATTAACGTATAAGAGAAGAAGTAAAAAGAATTCCAAGAAAAAGTATTGGTTCTAGAATCATGGGCAAAAGTTACTGTACTATGTTTCAGTGTTGCATTATCAAATTAAAGTGTGATGTAATAACCCCACCTTAAACTAAATGATAGGAGACAATTAATTCTTATTATGTAATTTAAAATAATCTTTTTATAAATAATAATAATAAAAAACCTTTCATGAAATAAACAAAACAAATGGTAGAAAGAAAAAGGAAACAAAACAAATTAGGGGCATTGAAGTAAGTACATAATCTTACATAAATGAAAGTGATTTTTTAACTTGCACTTCTAGCCTATGTTTGGATAAAAATTAGTAAAGAAAAGGAAGGGGAGGAGAGGAGAAGGGAAGGGAAATAAAAGGTTGATATTAATTTTGTTTGGATAGATAAAAGTGAAAGAGAGGAAATCATAGTATTTTTATTTAATTAAATAATTTAATAAAAATAAAATAAAGAAGAATAAAATATTTAATATTTATTAATTAAATAAATAGTTAAAATAAAATTTTTATATATTTATTTTTTAAAAAATTAAAATTAAAATAAATTAAATAATATAATCCGTCTCAATCCTTCCAAATCGAAAGAATTGAAAACAAAAGATGGGAGGGGATTCCATCTCCCTTCATCTCCCTCC